GTGGTAGAGGTATTGTGCTGCTTCCCCATATTTCTTGTGCTCCTGCAGCGATTTCTAGTTATCTGGTGGATGATCAGTTTCTTCCCAGACTTGGAATTTCAATCAGAGGGTCGAGGAGTGTGCAGAAAAGAAAACAGAGAGAGGGAAACAACAGCAAAAACACCAGACAAGACACAGAGAAAAAGAAGAGAAAAACTTTAAAAAACAATTAATATTCAAAAAATTTTAATACAACTCAAAAATTGGAAAACCGCGCAGCGCGCTTGCGCGTTGCGCGAAATGGCTAGATCGCAGGAGCCATGGAGCTGTCTGTCTCTTGAAGAAGGGCTGTTCACGCGAGTTTTGTACGCTGGAGGCCCAGTTATCAGTGGGACATCTTCCTTTTTCCAAACTGGCTAGATCGCAGGAGCCATGGAGCTGTCTGTCTCTTGAAGAAGGGCTGTTCACGCGAGTTTTGTACGCTGGAGGCCCAGTTATCAGTGGGACATCTTCCTTTTTCCAAACTGGCTAGATCGCAGGAGCCATGGAGCTGTCTGTCTCTTGAAGAAGGGCTGTTCACGCGAGTTTTGTACGCTGGAGGCCCAGTTATCAGTGGGACATCTTCCTTTTTCCAAACTGGCTAGATCGCAGGAGCCATGGAGCTGTCTGTCTCTTGAAGAAGGGCTGTTCACGCGAGTTTTGTACGCTGGAGGCCCAGTTATCAGTGGGACATCTTCCTTTTTCCAAACTGGCTAGATCGCTGGCTTACTTTCTAGCAGTGAGAAAGAACGGGGTAAACAACTGGCACAGTGAATGTGTTTGAAGGTTCAAGGAAGTACAAAATTTAATAATGATACTTTCCCGTCTACCACATCCAGACACTGTGTTAAGTATTTTCTACACATCTTTAACCTTCATAGTAATCTAACAAATACCAGGCAGTACTATGTAAGGAGCCAGAGTTAGAGATTTTTGCTACAGACCACATGCATTCGCCAGGGAGACAGAGAGACAGAAAGCAAGAAATCACTCTCCACAAGGAGATGACCACGGCGCAGTCCCTTTTCCTCCATTCTCTTGGGATCTTGGGCATGCATCTACACGCCTGGTGGGAGTTTTAAGCCACCTGAACTGGGACTTAAACCATGGTTGACTGCATGGAGTCCAGTGATGTAACCATTTCGCCATCTGCTGATGCCGACACTGATCCTTGAAGGAAGATAGAAGATGATGAGATGGAGCACGAGCTCAGGAGCGTATGTTGAAGTCTCTGAGAAAGGGAGGGCAGGACGTGGGAGCAGGTGTGGAGGAATGATTGTACAGGTGTGTAGGTGTCATGGTGTTTGAAGCACAGGACAGGAAGTCCTGGGCTGGGGGTATGGAATAAGCACCTTCATTTGTCTTAGTGTGGATTTCACCAAGCTGGGCTTCTATTAAGTTATTGGTCTTAGGACTCTTACATTTCCCAACTCCCTCATAATAGTTAATAAAGCTCTAGGGCTGGAGGAGGGCCAGCAAATAGGTCCTAGGTAAGTTTTTTTAAAATAGATGTAATTAGTAATTTGGTGTAATTTTTACTTTTTCACTCTGTATATTAGGAAAAAACATGTTCTTTATCTTCTTGTATCCTTAACTATTTTTTTTTTTTTTGAGAGATTTTCACTGTAGGGCGCGTGCGCTCGCCAGACAGACAGAGAGAGAGACATAGAGACAGAAAGCGAGAAATCACCCCCCAGGGGGGATGGTCACGCCGCAATCCCTTCTCCTCCATTCTCCTCTCGGGATCTTGGGCACGCACGCACACGCGCCTGGCGTGAGTTTTAAGCCACCGGGTCCGGGACACGAACCGCGGTCGACTACGTGGGAATCCAGCGACATAGCCATTACGCTAACTGCTGGTTCCCTATCCTTAACTATTTATTGAGATTTTAATAGTTTTTTTTCTTTTTTGATATTTATTGTTTAACTAAGATATTTGTTAGCAGGAAAGTAGTTCACAGCATAATTGTAGTGAACTTGTAAAGTGTTTAAAGTATTATATGTCAGTTCAATTTGAAGTTCAGTGTAGTGCCAGTTTTTTCTTATTATTTTCCATTACGTTTTTCTGTATTAGATGTCCAGGGATTTCTTTCTTTTCTTTTCTTTTCTGTTTTTTTAAAGAATGATTTATTTGATTTTACTTCTTATTTTTTAATTTGATCAGAGAAAGGAGAGAGAGAAAGTGACAAAGCAAACTGCCAGGTCCGGGATTCGAACTGTGGTTTCGCCATATAAGAGTCCAATATCTTAACTACCATGCCACCTGCAGCCCAGGAATTTCTTGAACTATAGTAAGAAGTAATTTTGGTAATAACATAGCACACCACTAAACTTGTTTGATGAGCTTTTTAAGTATACTTTTTTTAATTAAAAAAAATTTTTTTTTGAGAGAGGTTTTCGCTATAGGGCACATGCGCTCGCCAGAAAGACAGAGAGAGACAGACAGAAAGCGAGAAATCACCCCCCGGGGGGATGGCCACGCTGTAATCCCTTCACCTCCATTCTCCTCTCAGGATGTTGGGCACGCATGCACACACGCACCCGGCGTGAGTTTTAAGCCACTGGGTCCAGGACGCGAACCGCAGTCGACTACGTGGGAGTCCAGCGACATAGCCATTACACTAACTGCTGGTCCCTAAATTATTTTATTTTAAGTTTATTATTACTTTCCAATTTGACTGGGGTTGAGGGGGGAACGTAAGAAAGTAAATCTCCAGGTCTGGGACTTGAACCATGGTTGGTCATGTTAGAGTCCAGCGCCTTTAACCGCCACGCTACCTGCCGGCCCCAAATTTACTTATTTCTTCCATGAGAGAGAAAGAAACAGGCACCCCAAACAGGATCTTCACACCACACTCTAGTCCTTGCCTCAGTCAACTCAGATCGTGTGCACTCGCCCATGTATACATGGAGGCCTCAGGATGTGAACCCAGCACCTTCCCATGTGGGTTCAGTGTTGCAGAGTGTTGTATCACTTCTGTTTCACCATCTGGCCTTGATTTGATTTCTTCATGACATTTTACATTTGTACAGAAAGTTAAAATAATAATTGCAGCCCACCCATGGTCAGGAGGGTGCCACTGTGAAGGTACCTCTGCTCTCTCTTATTTGAAAAAAAGAAAAAGGAGAAAAGCTCTGACTGGCTATTTGGAATCTGGAAGTTTTAAGTGTATTTTAGTGACACTGTTATTTGGATTTGGATCGTACAAGGATGGGAACTACCTGTTGAGGTTGTTACTGAAAACTGTCTTTTACGTTTTTAGAGGCTTCGTGACGGAGTGCTCAGAGACATTGAGAGGCAGAATCGGAAAAAGGAAAATATTCGTCTTTTGGGAGAACAGATTACTTTGACTGAGCAACTTGAATCAGAGAGAGAGAAGATGTTATTGGCAAAAGGATCTCAGAAAACATGACCTGAAACAACGAATGTGAAGTATCAGTGGGACAGACAGTGCTGAGTGTGTGTATGCGTGTGTGTGTGCGCGCGTGTGTGTGTTGATAGAGAATAGCTTAGTGAGATCTTAATTTTTTTTATTTTTTGGTCACTGTCCTTTTAAACTATCAAATGGAGGACCGTGGAGTATATATTCTAAATTACTGTCTTTAAAGTCTTTTGTGTCTGAGTAAAGGCTGAGGTTGATGCTCTTTTGAAGAGTTTCTGTCTGCATGGACCTGGTAGGAGCCCCTTTTAACCTCAGTGTCCCGGGCTGAGGATTGCTGCTGACAAGCACTTCTGAACCTGTGAGGAGGAAGGGATGGATAGTAGCATTCACCTGAGCAGTCTGATAAATCGGCACGATGATGAAGCCACGAGAACATCTACCTCGGAGGGACTGGAAGAGGGTGAAGTGGAGGGAGAGACTCTCCTGATCGTTGAGTCGGAGGATCAGGCTTCAGTGGACTTATCTCACGACCAGAGTGGAGATTCCCTCAACAGCGATGAAGGAGATGTGTCGTGGATGGAGGAGCAGCTGTCCTACTTCTGTGACAAGTGCCAGAAGTGGATACCGGCCAGTAAGGAGCTTCTCAATTCCTTTCATGTGTCAATTACTGTTTGGTGGTTTGTGTTTCCATTCTTGAAAGAAACATGATCATAAAGTAGACCTAAATAAAAGGATAATCATTATATGTATTATTAGTGGATCAGCTCTAAGTTTGTATGGAACATAGACACGTTTATACTAACAAAGGTTATTGTCCACCTTTTTCACATTGTTAGCATTCTTGATAGTAGCCCAATAAAAATTAGAAACTGGAAATCTTAAGAATTAGCCTCATTTTTCTAACAAGATCATGCATGGATCAGGACCAAATTCTAGTCCCAGGGTAGAATTAAAGTTGAAATTCATAGAAATTACCCTGTTACTATGTTTTTTAAAAGATTTATTTATTTATTTTCATTTGACCAGAGAGGGACAGAGGAAGAGAGAGGGAGAGAAAGGGAAAATGAGAAAGCAAGCTGCCAGGCCCGGGACTCGAACCACATCGGCCATGTGGGAGTCCATTGCTCTTAACTACCACACCATCTGCCGACCCACTCTGTTAATATTTAAGTCACATGGAAAACTGCTGCTGAATACTGAAGCAAGGTTAGAATGAGGAGATTGAAGGTGTTCTGTGCCCTTTTCTCAGACCCAGTCTTTTCCACTTGCTGGCCTCTTTATCTGCTGCAGCCTCCAGCCTCCTTGCTCTTGAGGAGCACATCTTGCCAGCCATCATATGATTTATACTGAAATGATTTTTCTAGTAGGCAAGAAATGAGTAATGATAATGTACAACAGGAGTGTTCTGTGTAACAGAATTCATATCTAAGAGAAACTTCAAAAAATTCATGGAAATTTTGTATTACAAGTAAAACTATGCATGGATTTCAATTTTTTTTAACCAAAGGAAATTCATACTTTAGTTCTGTATTTCCACGAGGTTTTTGAAGTACCCTTGATTGTTGTTGTAAAGTAGATCCATTTTCTGGTATATAGACTGTTTTTGCTAAGATGGATTCAACTATTCAGATTAGTAGTTAATTTTTTTTTTTTTTTTAATTTAAGCTGCTGGGTCCAGGACTTAAACCGCAGTCGACTACATGGGAGTCCAGCGACATAGCCATTATGCCATCTGCTGGTCCCAGTTAAATTTTTTTAAAGAATTACTTTATTTAATTTTATTTATTCATTTGTTTATTTTAATTTGACTAGAAAGACACACACACACACACAGATAGAGAGAAAGTGAGAAAGCAAGCCACCAGGTCTGGGACTTGAACCACAATTAGCCATGTGGCAGTGTCCAGCGCCTTAACCACCATGCTACCTGCTGATCTCAGTAGTTAAATATTAATAAGCTAATAGTCACATTTTCACCAGAAATGAATGTAGAATTTACTGCTTATTAACTGTCTTTTGCTTCTGAGTGGTCTTTTTCTGCCCAGTGGCTTTTCCTTTGTCCACACAGGATAAACTTTAAACTGTCCTTTGTGGTCAGGCCCTTGCTAACTTCCTTAACCTTTCTGTCCCCACACAGAAACAACTTGGCAGTTAGGGAGAACTTTTAATTCTCCACAAATAATTCTTATCCCCAGGACTTTGCATGTTTTGTTTCCTCTCTGGGATGCCTCCTCATCCCCTCCCCCAAACACACAGGCACTCTCCTTGCCTGGCCAGTTTCTTTCCTCTGCCCACCCCTCACAAGCCCCTCTTTCTAGCTCCTCTGCCTTCCTAATATTCCCTGGGCTTCCTCCTCCTGACATGTGAAGTACATCCTATTCCACTGCCCTGATTTTCACGTCTCAGAGCAGCAGCATAACCTGAGGCATTTAGAAAATGCTTTAAGCCCCACTACAAGACTGGTTTACGTGTCTGGAGTAGGCCCAGCCATATTTAGAAAAACCAAACAACTCCCTGGGTAGTTTCATTGCATGGAGAACCACTGAGCTGCTGTGATTACCTCTTTCATACTCTGCAGCTCTTAGGTTTGTAAGGAGGTGAGAGCAGGCACCGCGTCTGTCTTAGATGTCTCCTTCCTGGTTCCTAGCCTGGTGTCTGGCATAGGGTGAGAGCTCACGTTTTCTGAAGGAATGTGTTGGAAAACCGTTAGAGCAATAATCTACTCCTGATTTTCCAGTATCTTTCTCCTAAGAGTTAAGGAATCACACACAGTTCTTAGTGAGTATGTACTCCATACCAGAGGAATAAAAATCTTTCTTCTCTACTCCCTTTCCTATCTTCATCCCTCCCCTGTCACTGTGGGTTGACCAGGAAAAAAAAAAGGAACCAAAAAATACCACATGGGAAATGTGGAAAGTCTGGTTGCTACATGGGGTAAACCTTTGGTAACCCTAGATAAACCTGTGATGTTGCTTTCTGTTTTTCTCCTAGGTCAGCTGAGGGAACAGCTCAGTTACCTTAAGGGTGATAATTTTTTTAGGTTTACTTGTTCCGATTGCTCAGCAGATGGCAAGGAGCAGTATGAGAGGCTGAAGCTGACGTGGCAGCAGGTGAGTAAAACAACTAGACTTTATAAGGTGGATTCCCCTAAGGAATTGGTTGGAATGAATATCTAGAATGAGCTTTTGAGTTGTTTGGAGGGGCCAAGCAACAGTTTTGCACAGTGAAAGTTAGATACTGACTATATGGAGAGGCATTCTTGATAAAAAGAACACTTGTTTCTAACCTCATAAACTGGATTTGACAATCTTGAAAATCTTACACGATGTTACTTATATGTAATGCCAAGCTCCGATTTGAATTGAAAATGGGGCTTACATTTTTCTGTCAGCCATTTTTAGAACAATAAAACCATTTTTTGCCAATGGAGAGATGGCTACATTGGAAATAGATTTGGAAGAAGTAATGTGATTGATTGAAAAAACCAGCTTTCTACATCTGAACTTAGAGATGTTTGAATGGTTTTTGTTTAATACTTATGTCCAGTATCAATACCCTAACTCTAAGTCAACTCTTGCCTGAACGATAGCTTTGAACCAATCTCTTGTTATTATTTTTAATTTTTTATATCAATAGGTATGTAATGAAGCACCAGTGTATATAAAGTCTTTACGTTTCAAAACAAATGAATTTACATTCTTCACTTGCTTTTTATGTTCGTTCATTCATCAGATACTGAGTGGTTGTAATGAACCAGACGGTATTCTAGGTGTGGAGGTTAATGAGGTGAATGAGATAGCCAAAGCCTCTGACCCCAGGCTCAACATTTGTTCTAGATAATGAAGTGACCCATAGCACTTTTTGCTTTGAAGGAAATACAACTGGATAATGAAAATAAAAAATTGGATTATGACATTTTTTACTGGTAGTTCTTACAAATTATAGTTGTTCTGGCAACCTTAGACTCTTGTCCTCATTACCAGTGCTTTATATGGACATTCATGACATCTGTCAGTGGTGAGTTTAGGAAGCCTTTTTTCACTCACAGCAAAGTATGATCAGTTCGTCACACATCAGCCCTGTATATGTAATACATAAGTAAGAGCTGCACGTAACTAAGTGGATCAGTAAAGCCAAAGAGGAGGTAAAGATCTACATTTAGAATATCCCAAGGTATCCTTCTCTTGTTCTTCTGTTCCATGTACCATTCCCACTCAGAATGTAAAACGGAACAGACTTTTCCCCCTTGAGATTAACACCTCGAATTGTGCTGTTCTCCGAGCCCCTGTTTTGTCTGTTTCAGGTGGTCATGTTGGCGATGTACAACTTATCTCTGGAAGGAAGTGGGCGTCAAGGCTATTTCAGGTGGAAAGAAGATATCTGCTCTTTTATTGAGAAGCATTGGACTTTTTTACTAGGAAATAGGTAACGTGATTTTTAAAAATCTTACACTTGAAGGGAGATGTGAAGAACTAAGTATATAAGATTTGAGATAGCGTCATGTAGCCCCATTAGAGAGTTAGAGTATTTACTGTGGCAATTCCAAGGAATTTTTGAATTCTAGGAAGTCTTTCTACTTTTTTGAATTAAAAAATCTTATGAAGAAGCAGAGTGGAAGTATATGTTATCAAAGTGTGGGTTTCCTTCCTCCTTTCATCCTCTTTCCAGAAAAGTGTTGGTTTCTATTGAGCATGACGTTTTTGAAGAAATTCTTAGCATGTTAAAAATAGAGAAAGTTTAATTGAAACAGTTTGGGACTATTCAAGAGTTGGATGAGGAACTATTTTATTTGAGATCAGATTATTACATCCTTTTGAAATCAATACTTTATAGGAGATTAGAAGAGGAACAATAATGGCACTTATTGACTATCCATTTAAATTGCTCTTTTTTTTTTTTTTTTTGAGAGGTTTTTGCTATAGGGCGGGTGTGCTTGCCAGGCAGACAGAGAGACAGAAAGCAAGAAATCACCCCCTAGGGAGGATGGCCACGCCACAATCCCTTCTCCTCCATTCTCCTCTTGGGATCTTGGACACACACGCACACATACCCCGTGTGAGTTTTAAGCCACCGGGTCCGTGACTCAAACCATGGTTGACTACATGGGAGTCCAGCAACATAGCCATTACGCTAACTGCTGGTCCCTAGATCACTCTTAATGAATAGAGTCTAGAGTTATTAGTGTTTGCTTTTACTAGCTCTGGAAGGCCGACACTTTTTTATACTTTGTGGTATCGTTCATAATGTTTAACAAAGTCTAAGCACATTACCATTTGTATGGTTTCTTCATTATTCTTTTCATAATTGGACTTTGATGATGCTATTGAATGCTCCTCTGTGGGCTGCTTTGGTTCACTAGATCAAGGGATACTGATGCACAGATATTGAGACCAGAGGTTTTAATTAAAGGTCCATCTAACAAGATTTTAAAATCTAGCAAGATCTATACAGTATAGCCAAACTTACTAGTTTCATGGTTAAATTACAGAGAAGCTGAAGAGTAATGGATGCCTTTTACTGCAGTGTTAAAGGAAAAAAAGCCTTAGTTGAGTCCTCTCAGAAACTGTTAAAATCTGGCAGTATGCTTAAAAGCAGTTGAGATTTTTGTTTAGCTTGTTATCAGGAACTAGTGAGTTTAGGATTACCATATCGGTAAATTTTGTTTGAGATTCTGCTTTTTAGTTGCTGCCTGAAGTCCTGGGAGAACAAGAAAGACATTTGAAAAGAGGAGTGGCGGGGCCGGGCAGTGCTGCATGATGCTCTTTGTGAGGCTGACCGACCAGGGAGGTTTCTGGGTTTGCATCCGGAGACCTTCCTGAGTACATCAGCAGCTGTATGCCCGTGGTCCAGGGCTGGCTAAGGCTGGGAGTAGAGTAGATTATGATGTGAAGATCCTGTTGGGGTGGGGGTGGGGAACTGTTGTCTCCATCTCTGTCTCTATATCTCACTCTCATGTAAGAAAGGCTGACCGACCAGGGAGGTTTCTGGGTTTGCATCCGGAGACCTTCCTGAGTACATCAGCAGCTGTATGCCCGTGGTCCAGGGCTGGCTAAGGCTGGGAGTAGAGTAGATTATGATGTGAAGATCCTGTTGGGGTGGTGGTGGGGGTGGGGAACTGTTGTCTCCATCTCTGTCTCTATATCTCACTCTCATGTAAGAAATAAACTTGGAAAAATAAGACAGGAGGGACAACCTTCTGAAGGCTTGCTGAGAGGAAAAAAATGGATGAGACTCAAAAGGAGTTATTTTAATTCTTGAGTTATTTAGTGGTACTAAGAAAAGAGCTGATACTGATTCTGTGATGGAAAGGAAATCTGTTTGTTTAATGATTTAGCACTATTTATGGAACTTAATATACTCCATTTATAAGGGACAAGAAGGGAAAAGCTGGTAAAATTAGATCTTGGAATGTTTTCATGATCTCTACACGCTTTTCTTTGTAGTGGATTATCTTCTAGAAGAAATTAGATTTAGTTTTTGTGTTTTTTTTAAGGATATTGCCATATTTTAACAGAAATTGTTGAGTCGTTTCATTGGTTCATTTTTAGAGCATATTCTGAGAGGAATCAACTAAGACTTTTTTTCTTTTTAACAACCGCAATGAAAGGCATTCATTGCTTTCCAGTTTTTTTGTAGTTTAATCATGAATCTGGTAGGTTTTGGCTATATTGGTATATCACCTGACTTGTTATTCACTTAATCTTTCTATTTAGATCAAGTCACTTAAAAATGATGCATTTGTTTTAAAAAGAAACTTCACCATGGTTAGTGGAAAACCCATATCCTTTGCCAAAAGTAAGATGTAAGTGCACTAAAAATAAAACGATGCTATTCAGTTGTTAACTGGATCCCATAGCATGTAAAGGCAACTGGGAGCTTTCTTTTTAAGTGAGCTAGTGAGAATTTAAAGCAGTTAACTTTCTCTTTTAGTCTAACCAGGACTAAAAGACAATTAGAAATCACCCTGGTTTGTTGCCACCTGGATTTCTGGCACAGTGCCATCCTTCACTTGGTACTCCAAGTACCAACACAACACTCTGTGTTGAACTCAGTGATCAGAAAAGTGCCCTGAGGCCCAGCCTAGTGGCAGTGTGAGTAGCGTACTTAACTACTGTGCTGGAAGCCGTGTGACTGACTGAGTTTGGATACCCAGCCCAATTGACCTGAATACCAGAGACATAGGTGCTCTAAGATCCTGATAAGCTTGAGGGCTGGGGGAGGGGGACTGTGGCCTGACGAGATCCTGTTAAAAGTGCCTGTGTCACCCACCCCATGCATACATGCACCCTCTAACATAAATTTTACAAAAGGAGAAAAATGAAAACGTCATCATTAACAGGATCACTGCACCCCAGAGAAGCAGTCCTTGCAGTGCATTAATACTTAAGTTAAACTTTTTCATAGCTGTTGAAGTTTGTTTGTTTGTTTTGTTTTCTTTTTTAGAAAGATTTTTGCTGTAGGGGACATATACTTGCCAGAGAGACAGAGAGAGAGGAAATGAGAATCATCCCATAGGGGAGATGACCACAACACAATCTCTTCTCTATTCTCCTCTTGGGATTTTGGGCACACATGCACACTTGCCCGGTGTGAGTTTCAGACTTCCAGGTCTGGGACTTAAACCATGATCAGCCATGTGGTATCTAGTATCTTAACCACTGAGCCACCTGCTGGCCCTGTTACAGAAGATTTTAATTCTGGTAGCCATAGAACATATTTTAAATTCTTAAAACTGATAACGATTTCCTGTTCATCACAAGATCTGAAAGAATAGCATACTATGAAATAAAAAAAATTTTCATTTGAATACATTTTCTTTTTTTTTTATAATTACTTTTTTATTTAATTTTATTTATTCACTGATTTATTCTTAATTTGAGCAGCGAAAGACACAGAGAGAGATAGAAAGAGAGAGGGAAACCGAGAAAGCAAGCCACCAGGCCCAGGACTCAAACCGTGGTCAGCCATGTGGGAGTGTCCAGCACCTTAGCCACTATGCCACCTGCTGGTCCCGAATACATTTTCTTTCAGATGTTTACAAGTTTTTTTTTTTAAATGCCTGAAATGTGTTGCTAAAGTTTAAATGTGTAAAAGTTTATTGTGGGCTAGCCTGAGAATTTTTTAGTTTGTTGTAGGGTGCATATGCTTGTAGGAGGGAGATGGTAAGAAATTGCCTTCCAGGGGGGATGGCCACACCACAGTCCCTTCTTCGTTCTGTCAAGATTTTGGGTATATGTATGTATATGTGTCCAGCATATTTTTTAAGCTGCCAGGTCTAGGACTTGAACTGCATAGTCAGCCACTTAACCAACATGCTATCTGGTTGGCCCCCTAAGAAATTTTATGTACCATTGTAAAACAAATGTAAAAGTATGTGAAAGCTTGGGGCCAGCAGATGGCATGTCGCTGGACTCCGACATGGCTAACCATGGTTTGAATCCTGGACCCCGTGGCTTAAAAACTCATGCCAGACACATGTGCATGTGTGCCCAAGATCCTAGGAGGAGAATAAAGGAGAAGGGATTGTAGCATGGCCATCTCCCCTGGGGGGTGATTTCTCAACTTTCCTCCTCATTGTCTATGTCTCTCTCTCTCTCTTTCCTCCCCACAGTGAGCACATGTGCCCTAAGGCAAAAACCTCTACCAAAAAAAAAAGTGTACGAAAGTTTTTACTAAGATTAATTGCCACTGTGTGTGTGATAATTTAATGTTTTTACAGTCCTGGCCTGGAATTCTTCCAGAAGGTATAGTCTTGATTAGTGAAGAACAGCTTAAATACAATCTTCTGTTACCATAGTTCAATGATTTTAAAGTGTACAATTTTACAGTTATTAACATCTCTGAGTTGTTAACATCTTAAAATCAACGGCATATCATTAGTGTTTCTAAGGTTAGGCCAAAATAAACCTTTATACATTTCATTGGCAGCTATCTCTCATTTTTATTTATATATAAAATGGTATATCGGGACCAGCAGTTGGCATAATGGCTATGTCACTGGACTCCCATGTAGCTAACCACAGTTCGAGTCCCGGACCCAGTGGCTTAAACTCACCCTGGGTGCGTGTGTGTGTATGCCCAAGATCCTGAGAGGAGAATGGAGACAGGATTGCGGTGTGGCCATACCCCTGGGGGGTGATTTCTCGCTTTCTGTCTCTCTGTCTCTCTCTGTCTTTCTGGTGAGCTCACTTGCCCTATAGCAAAAACCTCTCCAAAAAAAAGATATGTTTTAAAGTAAACAAACCTTAAATTTGACGAAATACAGGATACATTCATGGGATTTACACTTGGAAAAATTTTATTACAAGGACAGCAGAGTAGGAAGCATGAGAAATCAGTTTCCCCATCCGGGTGACTGTCAGGATCTGTTTGATGCATTGTAGAACTCTGGAGTCTAATGAGACTTGCAACTTCCGGCGGAAGACTTACATAGTCGTGGCTCGCTGTAGTCAGTTTCTGCTCTTAGTACAGCAGCTGCCTGTCCCCCACCTCCAGTCTGAAGCAGGAGCTGTATGCGAATTCCCAGAGTAGCTTGCCCACAGTTCATAGGGTACAGGGTGGGCAAGAAGGATCCTGCCGCGCCGATACCTGGGATTCTTGCTCTCATCACTGCTCCTGCAGATCCCAGAGGTGCAGACACAGAGAGAGCAGCCACTACTGCTGCTTTCCCCCAA